CTGCTTCGGTGGTCAGCAAACTCCACCTTACAAATTAGGCACAACACTCTACTTTTATCAATAGCGCCGTCAGGGCTTTTTTGAAAAGTAAATTTTCCATTCATTGTGCCCAGAACTCTCATATGCTCCTCCATTTTCACCTCTCCTCTCCTCACCGCTGCTTACTTAGCCCCCCCCCCAACTCCAATGGGAGCCAATCAGCTTATGCTCAACAAGCCCAAACATAATGACAGCCAATCAATGTCCGCTTCAGGTTGTGACTGACAGTTGTTTCCCCACCCTCAACTACTCGAACACAGGAAGTCAACACATGAAAAGGGATATTATAAAAAGGAAACCCAACTACAGAAACAGTAACGTTAGAGATTGGAATTTAGATTAACGCGATTAAAAAATATAACACACTAAAGAGGACTGTTAATTAATCACAATTAACGTGATAAATTGACACCTCTAGTTTAGATTAGCACTAATGAATGTTCATGCCAACACTATACAATGCAGGGAAAAAAATACCCCATGCCCCACTGCTGTTAAGTAAAACACATTACAAATTTTGATTCAAAACACTTTTTGCTTATTTGATACGTTTCGGCATGGTGGTCAACTGATTAGCACATCGGCCTCACAGTGTAGAGGTGCAGGGTTCGATTCCGGCTCCAGCCTTCCTGTGTGGAGTTTGCACGTTCTCCCTATGCCCGCGTGGGTTTTCCCCATGGACTCCAGTTTCCTCCCACATTCCAAAAACATGCATGGCATGTGAATGGAACCCTCTAAATTGTCCCGAGGTGTGAGTGTGAGTGCAAATGGTTGTTTGTCAATATGCGCCCTGCGATTGGCTGGCAACCAGTTCAAGGTGAATCCCGCCTACTGCCTGAAGACAGCTGGGATAAGCCCCAGCACGCCCCGCGACCCTTGGATGGAAAATGGATGTATAGATAATACATTTCAGACAGCAGTGAGCACAATGTATGTTCTTTCATCATTTTCATGAAAAAACAGCCCATCACTCAAATAATAAAAATCAGGTCATACACATTAGTAGTAACAGTGAGCAAATCCTCCTCAATTCTAAATGCATTCAGGTAATCATCAAAACTCATAGTAATAACATTACATTTGTGGTCAAAAGAAATGCCTTTTCATTATGAAGATGTTAACAATTTTCCTGAAAGTAGGGAATCATTTTCATTACCCACACATCCAAACATTCCATTCTGGCATTCACGTCCATAGTTTTGCAGTTGCACACAGGAGGTAGTGGCAAAACGAGACATTACATGTTTGACAAGACCCCAACACCTGGTCTGGATCGTGTAGTAGCATCTCCCTGCACATGAGCGTTGCCTTTATTTTGACACTTTGGCAACTGGCTGGTTTGCCAAACTTTGAATCGTGGACAAGCTTTAGCCACCTCATCGTAGTTCAGATGTTGAGTGGTCTTGCAGAGTCTTTGGGCCACCTTCAAAATTGCATGGGCAAAAAACAGAGAAGAATATGGACTCAAAAACAATTACCTTTACATCCTCAAGTCCATTTCCTGTAGGCCTACATGGCCAAATGAGAAAACCCTAGAGTTTTTTTTTTGGGGGGGGGGGTTTGCGACTCAGTACTCACGTAAATTGGTGAGGCCTTGTTTTCCAGATTGTGGAAGAGTGTGACAATTCCACGGACATAGATAATGCAGACATTAATTTTATGCACAAACCGCTATTTTAATTTTGAATCCATTACATTATTGAGGCAGATCAAAAGATTGACATCACAAAAAAAGCGGCATTATAAAGTATTTTATTGTTTTTAAACAGACTTCAACAGATGCAGTCCTAGCCATTTACTTTCTGCTGTATTTGAGACGAGTCCCAAGTTCTACCTGCAACCGTTAGTTTCGACCACCAGGGGGAATATCACTGTTTTGTTTTGTTTTTTGTAAATCTCCAAATAATTACAAAATAAAAATAAAATAGAACATCGGGTCCATAAAAAGTGTTTAGCTTAACATATCAAAAACATTTAAGAGCACTTTTCTGAGCAATACAAGTACTGAACACTGAACTTGCTTCAGATAATAAAGAATAAAACAGACCCTTAAATCTCAGCATGGGCGTCATTAGGCCTATTTTAGGGAGGCTTCAGCCTCCCTAAAAATGTCTTTAGCCCCCCTAAATAATTTCATTGCATTATTTTAAAAAAAGTATTATTTATTTTTCCTGTACTTTTGCTAATATATTGCATCAAATTCAACGTAATGTGGCCATTTTAAATTATATTTCGATAACCTGCCATTATTATAATGTTAAATCTCCCAGGTTTCCTGAACGCAACAGGTGTTGCGTT